ACACACACACACACACACACACACACACACACACACACATTTATGTATAGCTACTTGAAAATTTTGTTTGCTTTATTCTACATATTTGTTACAAGAAATTAGTTATTTTCCTTTGTTTTTCTATGGTATGAAAGTAAGAGGGAGAGAAAATACATTTTTATTAATTTAAAGAGCAGAGAGGTGGGGGTGCTACAGATATGAAATGTGAAGTAACTGCATTATTAGTTCTATTTATCTGTTATACTTTGTTATAAAAGACTTCACATGAAGTGGGAGTAATCTGCAAATATTTGTAGTATTAAAACAAACATATCATCAAAACTGAAAAAAAATTAAAAGGCTGGAATGTGGAAGCATTGTGATATAGTGGGAAGAGCACTGGACTGGAAGGAGTGTGTTCTAGTCCTAAATCCACCACTAATTAGTCTTCTTGACTTTAGGCAAATTTGTTTACCTCTTTGGTTTATAAATAAGGAGCTAGAGAATGACAAGGTTGGACTAGCTAATAGAATTACACCGAATCTCAGATGGAAAAGGGACTGTAGGCCATCTGATCCAACCCATAACTTTTAGCCCATAACCCATAACCCATAGACTGAGAATGTCATCTACAAAAATTCTCAGAAAGTGGTCATGTAACTTTCTCTTGAAGAATTCAAGGATACTCTTGCCTTCTGAGGCAATCTATTTCACTACTGGATCCTCTAATCCTTAGGAGGTTTCCTTATATCCATCCTAAATCTGCCTTCTATAACATTAGTCATTATTCCTAGATCTGCTCTCTCAGATCAGGTCATAGCAGTCTAAACCCTTTTACACATGGCATTTCAACTACTTAAAAACTACTGTTATGTCCTTCCAAATTCTTCTATTCTTCAGATCTCTATCAATTCTCCCCTCCATGCACACCCAGATCAATAAACTTCTGTGGCTCCTTATTACCTCTAAAATCAAATATTAAGTGCCTTTGGTGTTTGAAGCCTTTAACAATTTGGTCCCTATCTTTCCAATCTTTTTACACTATACTCCTTTCTACATACTTTACAACCCATCTATACTTGCTTTCTCCTTATTTCACACTCATTTTATTCCATCTTCCAACTCCATCCTATGGGTTATGGGTTATATATTCTCTCTCTCTCTCTCTCTCTCTCTCTCTCTCTCTCTCTCTCTCTCT